ATCTTCCATTGAGGCTTCATGCTCCGCAGAGAAAATCCATGTTTTTATTTTCACCCATGTACCTCTGCTTTTCCAATAAGAAGAATGATGGTTATTTATCTTCGTCGGATTTATATAGGAAAGCACAAACTTAAAACAACAATTATCACGCTTCTTCCAGTCGTTCTCGATACATCAACTTGGTTTGTCCCTCTCCTTTTGTTGACTTTTTTCAGTCTATGGGTAGTCATGGGGAGATATCTAATGAAGCATCAACATCCCGCTCGGACCCGTGATCAATCAATGCAAATGCTACGAAAAGTCAAGAGATTAGGAACAAAGGATGCATTGGAGAACGATCCCTCGGACCATGGAAATGAAATTTAGAAGTCTTTCCAATTCAATAGGCGAGTATTGGCTTTTGAAGACCACACGCAGTATAAGAATGATTTAAATTCGAAAACTCTCTCAGATTACCTGTTTGGGAAAATGGTTTGTAAGACTTAGAAAGTCAGTTTAATTTTCTGTATTTCTATTTGAAATCCTTAAGGGATTATGTGTCTAAAATGTTCACTTTTCCATCTAACTTGAAAGCTGAGAATGAGTTTTTTGTTGCTGTCACAAAGCACTTCTTTCGCCAAGCTGTGCCAGCTTAAAATTCGCACATTGCAAGTGATAAAGCAAATATTTGTTCAACTGGAATCATCTATGCTCTCCCAATGTTCTAAAAATGTATTTTCTTGTACGCAGAACCAAAATTGAAATATCTAAAACTTTCGATGGTAAAGAAATATAATAATGTTTAAAACAAACTAAAGTTCTCATTTAATTTGAAAAACAAACTATATAATGTATATAATCTCCCGTTCTATACTAACGTGGGACGTCTTTCTTTCCTAATTGTCGAAATTACTGGAATGCACTTAATTGTTGCAGTTCCCGAACTGATCTATCAGACTTAGCTTATAACACTGTATGATTTCAATATATTGAATAGATAATAGCATCCTGCACGTTTACGTACATATATAACGTTCGACGCAGTTACTACAGAACAGATTCTACTAAAGTTACCGAACTTTCGTACGTGAACATTATGGGATGTGCTAAGTGAAAGTTCTCGGTCTTTCCATTGGCTCTGAAATGCTATTTAACTTTAATAATGTTGAGGCGATTCAGTTATCTGTTTCTGAATAATTTGCATCTAATCCACTGGTTCTAAGTAAATTTTATAGTTTAAATTTGGCGATTAAAAATATATACTTCGTGGTCATTCTTGCTTACAGTAGTCCTTAATTTTCACACGGGTGCGCAATATGTCTTTTTTGCCAAGCTGTCGCAATTACTGAAATGCACGTAATTGTGGCAGTTCCAGAAGCATAACACCTGTGTACGGGTTAAACGTGCACATTTATCACATTTATTGTGCTCTTTCTTCAGTTCCTAAACAAACTATAGGTGAACGAAAAAATTGACATTGTTAACATAGATGTCTACATTCTCTCCTTTCTCCATTCATCTGTTGCAAAGGTGCAGAGCATTTTTTAAAACGCGATTTGTAACGGGGGTGAAGTTAGAACATTGGAATGTGGTTAGAATATTCTGACATTTTGCTACTCAATCTTTCTTATACAGTTTTAAAGAAGAGTCTTTTAGATAATGTGTTTGAATGAGGGGAGGGGTCAACGGGGATGGACTGAGATACCCTGGAGGGTTGTGGATGCTTCTTGAGGGAGCCGGTGCCATGTGGTCTGTGGAGAGTATATTTATATTTGAATATTAGATTTTAAAGTATATTATACTTAATATTTATTTAAGCTTGCTTACGAATCTAAAAATGATATAGCATGTTTATAACGAAATTTGTTGGCTTCATTTAGAAGTTTTTTAATTTTTAAATTACTCAGAATTATTTAATTTTCATAATAAATAGATATAAATAAATCTTGGATAACAATTGAAATTGTAAGGAAAGAAGCTCAATTACATAGATAGTATTTTAAAATATTGAGGAACATGTAGATAAAAATCATTAATTACCAATTACACTTGTCTAAACTTATTCAACGAAAGATTCTAAGAAAAACCAATATATTTTCAATTAAAAATTTTTTACTCTCGTGCTTTATTACTGATGCTGAAAGAAATTTTCATGTTACGCATATTATTTATCACTGAATTGAGCAACAAAATTTCAATATAAAATAGGAATTTATTAATAATAACTTCTTTTTTTTTTCTTCAACGAAAAGTAAACGGGAATGAGGCGCCAGTTTAGAGGGCGTACTGGTATATGTTAAAATTTGTTCGATTTCTTCCTAAGATCCATTGATAAAGGATTGTTAACGCTTTCACTTTTTAATTTTCGAAAGAATGTTCTGACGTCATGTCCTTCCTTTTGTTGAATCACTCGCTGATGAATAATCATGTGTGTAGAGTAAGACTAAAATTCGCTCCTTTGATTGATTGAATAAACTGTCAAATTGTAGTTTCACTATCTTAAATACCTGTGACTAGTGTTTAAATTTAAAATATCTTAAATTTGTAAAGTACTTTTTTATTGAAAAGTATAGATTACAATTTAAAAAAGGGGTAAGATGACAGTTTTTAGTTAAATTTATTTTATTCTTCGAAATTAAATTGTTGGATGTATTCCAAGCAATTTCAAATATCATTCATAATATAAGCTGAAGATTTACATTAAGTAAATAAATACCAAATAACAAAAATGTTTTACTGATCAAGAAATACATTTAACTTACTTGTTAATAAATTTGAAGTGATTGTGTTTTTTAACTTTCAATATTTATAAGAGTTTATGGATAACAACTAAGGATAAAAAAAATACATACTTCACCAGAAATGTTGATATATTTCTACCATTCATTTTGATTCAAAGCAGTGGCGTAAAAAAAATCATATTAAAAGCTATAAGGTAAAAATAATAACTATCTAGAAAAATCTCATTGTGTATATGTTTAATGTACGAGATGCCTACAATTTTTATAGAATTTATAGTCATTGTATAGAATACCTGTCGTTTTAAGACAAAGTAAGAAAGAATTATCACTCATTCAGTGTATAAAGTATCTGTTGGTTTTTTTATTAGTCATTCAGTAGCATGCCTAGACAATGCATAAAACATTAATTGGTTCACACTTTGTCATAATTAGTCATTCTATAGATTATTTAAACAATATGTGAAATATTAATGATTTCATACTTTGTCCGTCGATTTTAGGTATTCTATACAATGATTAGGCTTATTCTTTAGTATGCCGGAAATCGTTGATGATAAGATATAGAAATAAATGTATTCAATCGAATTTTATTGTTTGGATAACTTATGAAATATCACTAAAATGTTCCTCTTTCCATTTTAATATTAGGAAAAATTAGTTCCCAAAAATTAGTTATAAGAGAATCTAAATCGTATCTAAATATCTAAGAGAAAACTTTCTTCTATTAAAATGAAAGTTTTATAACAATTATTATTTCTTCTTTTTTTAATTTTACTTTTATAAAATACATATTTTTTATAAAAATATATAAAACTGATGTAAGCTGTTCCATAATTACCACCTGCGTGAAAATTAACTTTCCATTTAAGTCATGAAAACAATTATATTTTCATGTCATTTTAAACCTCCAACAATGACTTAAAATTGAATGCATTCCGCTAAGAAATCACAAGTGATTATCTTCGAATTAAGGTAATTCATGACTGCTTGAATAGGACCATGGATATAAAAAAAAAAATCCTTTCAATCAAACTTGACCGTTATTAATTAACGGATTACCACGAAATTCTTCTATACAGCAGCCACCATCTGAATCCTTATTTGCACGATGAATTCAGGACAGCAGATGTAAAAGAACTTCACCCCAATAACTGTCAATCAACGCTAAAAACACATCCCGCGACTAATTTGAGGCCGAAATAAAAAAATGAAACATGGGCTCCAACTTGCTTTTCGCATATTTTCATCCCTTCAATCTGTCTCAGGGAAAACGCGTGATGGCTTGCCCTTCTTCATCGTAACGCCTGACATGAAACCCGTCATTTTAGGAACATAATTGACGCTTCGCCGAAAATTGGAGGCTCCCATTTTTATATGTATATATTTTTTTTTAATAATTTTATTTCTTCTACTTGTGCTTCCCGCACCGAATGTTGCTTTATGTTCAGTTTGTAAACGGTGATTAATCAGTACTGTCAATCTGTCTTAATTCGTCTGTCCACTTTCCTTTTTCCCCTGTGGGGGGAAAAACTCCAAACAATAAAAATTGCCTGGCACTTAAATACTTTTTAACATCTAAATCTTTTCACTTCGTTTCTAATAAAAAGCAATCACATAAAAAATCGTCTGCTGAATAAAAATAAAAAATATCCGTCCCCTCCCTCAGCTTGTTTCTTCTAATGGATTAAAAGGAGTTCAACTGTCCCTGCATTTTGTTAAAATTACTTACAATACAACTTCAGACACTTTTTAAATAACGCAAATAAAATAGCAAGAAAATTTTGCAGCTAAGAAAAAAAAATGAAATCCATTAGTCTTGTAGTAGCTCTGAATATAAAAGATTGTTGTCAGTCCTAGGAGGTGGGTTTTTGAAAGGGGGGGGGATTCTATTCAATGCACTAGCATACAATTCCATAATAATTACCTATCCTAAAAACTTGTTTGATTGTGTCGAAACCCGACTTGGAGAAACGCAGAAAATTTTTCTTGTACCTTTCCCCTTCCACCAGTTTATTTATTTATTTCATTTCTCAGTTCATCGCGTTTATTTTTCTTATTTTATTTTATTTATTTTTCTCTTCTTGAATTTATTTCATCTCTTGTTATTATTATCATTTCGGCTAGTTGATCGTTCCAGGCATTATGATTGGCCCGTCCCATTGTTCGACGTCCGCGTGAATACGTCACATGGTTTTCTCGACCATTCAGAAACAAGAGACTTTTTGGGGAAGTAGAAAAATGGAAGAATAAAAAAAGAAGTGCGAGTGGAACTTCTTTTGATGGGGTGTCTGGTGGGAAGGGGAGAGAGGTGTGCAAATGTAGGGATGGAGAGAGGGAGGAAGGGACAAATTACCCATGCCCCCCTTCCCACAAAAGTCTGAAAGAAGAAGCCGCAGGGTCGTGGATATTGCCAGTTGTTGCTTAGAACGTGCGAAGTGCGGATGTTGTGGATTGTGCCTTGGAATTTGTTTTGCTCTTTTTAGTTCTCGTGGAGTTTTGCTTACTTTTTCATCTGTGTTTGTTATGGCCCGTTTTTTACGAGTTGATCACGAATATAGAATTATTTAATGATTGCGGCGTGTTTTTATTGAGGATTTATAAAGTGATTATTCGAAGTGGGCGAACGGTTAATAATTCCCCCGCTTCAAAACTACCTGTTCCGTCCGACTCGAGCGAAGATGAGGTAAGATACTAAATATGTAATTATGAAATGATTTTTATTTAATTGTTTTTCGTTCTAAGCACTGTCATATTTAATTCACTTATGAAATTTATTAAATAAAGTTGGAAAATGGATAACTCACAATTGTTTCAATATGATCCTTAATTTTTGTTATAAAAATTTATAACAAAAAAATTTAGTTCATTTATTACTGTTAACATAGGTTTTTAAAATTTACTAATTAGTTAATATTCATAATTAAGTTTTTCCAAATACATCACATAATTATGTTTATTTCCAGAAAATTTCTAAGTACATGGGTGACACATTAAATAATTTTAAAATACCTACGTTAAATATTTCCAAATATGATATTTTATTATAATAATTATTTGTTTTATTAATATAAAATACCATTCATGTGCCCGCTAAAAATATTGATAGTTCATTAGTCTTGCGCAACATGCGTTGATAAACGTGTCAGAAAAAGAATAGAATTCTTTTTAGGCAAATCATTTAGTCCTTATAAATTCTTAAAATAATTTCATAATTCTTTTGTTTTGAATTTACTGCACAAATTTATTGATTTGTCTCATATTTTAAAAACAATTATATCGTATTAATTGTCCCAAAATGAAAATAATAAAATTACAGACATTCAAATAAAATGTCGGTAAAGAGAAAAAGAACTTTTTCTATATAAGTTTTTCTGGTTTTGGTAAATAAAATGCTTTCACTATTCTTTTTTTTTTTTTTTGAAATTTTGTACTGAGAATTTTGCTAATTTTTCTCTTTTTTGAGATATGATTTTTATCATATTTTGAATAGGTATGTTTTACGTAAACAGGTGTGTTTTTAAATGTCGACGTCTAAACTTTTAAAATAATACTGCGTGCGAATAGGTTAAACGAAATAATTTCTTTAGTAGAGTGGTTTAGTCCTACTTATTCAAATTCCATCAAATCAATGAAAATCATTTTAAATTATTATTCATCAAATTTTAATTTACTGGAAACACAAAATCTGATTCTTTTTTTCATAAATATACATTGTAAATTGAGCGTTAGTAACTGTCAGTGTTGGGTTCAAATGCAATTGATTACTTTTAACCCTTTATTGTAAGTAATCATTATAGCATGTTATATTGAAGTATGATTGCAAGTAGTAATGGTTTATGATTACATCTAATCTTGATTGACTGTAATCAATTTTTTTTTTCATGCAAAAATACTAATACTTTAAGGGATGTAAGGGTTAATATTACAAAAGTTCAAGAAGATTTTATGAAGCCTGACAGTTTACGTCTTCATACTAAATTGACTATAAAGCCATACTTGTTCCTTAGTTACTAACTTAAAAGAACAATTATCAGTGTCTTTACATCGGTGTGTTTTCTTGAACTTTAACTACTTATTTATTTTGTGGTTACAATAATGTCAGAACTCGGTTTATTTTTAATTATTGTATTATATTTTACTACTGTATGTCTTTTGATTTTTCCGATTCATAAAAAATTCCCAGTCTGAAGTCTATTCATTAACAACGCATCATTCGCGATTATTATAAATTTTCAGTTATTGTATGCCGAGGAAAACTTTCTCTTGAAAACTTCTCTTAAAAAATTTTTAATTTTACGTTAAAGATATTTGTTGCCTTTTTGTTTGTTTTGAGCAAAGTTGTATGTATCTTTTGTATTTTAATTAATTTTTACAGTCCTACGATATATTTATGTACAATTGGTAATTAAATTTAGACTTCTCTTCAAGAGATTATAATATTTTTGATAAATGCATTTTGTTCTCGTCTAACATTAAAAAAAAAAAAAAAAAATAGCTGCATTAGATGCATGTTGTAGTTTTATCGTGCCAGCTTGTTTAATATTAATGAAATTGATATTTACGTACTGATAAATTTAGTCCTACGTAACTTAATTAAAGAAATTTTACTTGGTAAATTCGTCTAAAAGCAAACACGGCTCTATTCTCGTATTTTTTTTTAATGTTTGTTCTTTTTTTTAAATTTTTTTTAAATCAAATGTTGTTTAATTGTCACCTGCATCAATTGTTTTTTTTATAAAATAATAAATACCTTTATTCTTATATCCATAGGCATTTTTTGTATCTTTCCCCCATTTTTACTCTGTAATTAAGTTAATTTTAATTAGAAAATGTGTTGTGACGTTCAAGTGGTCGAAACCACTTGTTTAAAATTGAATGGCTCTGAACGTAAATTATTACAATTATCTTTTCTTCAACCCTTTGTACATCAATAGTGATTCCCACACTATTAGTCACGTTTAAAGCAAGACAAAAAAAAAGTTTTTTTTAAAAACCTGAATTTGTAGGTCAAACCGAATTTAACATAAGAGATTCAATCGCCGATCACCACCATTAGCCCATTTATTTTGTATGGTTAACAAGCTTTTTTCTTGTAAAATGGTTACCCAAATAAATGGTCTATTCCAGCCTGACCCCTGATTATAGGACGCACCTCTACATTCAAAGATTTATCTGATCATAATCTGGACGCCGCCGAACCTGTCAGCGGGTTATTTCATTAGGCTAGTGTGTGGTTTACTAAGAAAATAAAGAAGAAAAAGAGATTTCAAGCGCAAACACGCGCTTTGTTATAAATAAAAAAGCCGCGTTTAGTAGAATCCAGACATTTCCCATCATTCCTCGGTTTCCCCATGTCAACAAAAGCAGCGATCTCCCATTGCGCTTTGCGAAAAGGAATGATATCTACTTCCCCCACCTTCTCCCCCCTTGTCTCATTACTCATTTTGCAAATGGAATTCCTCTGCATTCTTTTACACTGTAAAATGTTTAATGCCCTAATGTTCCGAAAATCTTATTTATAGGAATCTCCTAGGTTTTTAATAGTTCTATTTTTTTAAGGAGAAAAACATGTAAAAAATATCGTGTTTGTTTTGCTATGTTTTTTTTTTTTAATGATTGATATGTTGTATTTTGTTTTTCTTTCTTACCTTTGCTTATATTTCCTTTTTGCTTTAAAATTAGCACATTTTTTGCTGCAGGTTAGAACATTGACGTTAAAAGTTCTTTTGTCATGTGTTATTTTTTTCTAGCGTAATAAACGGATTAATCATTTCATAGATGTTTATTTATTGAATTGAGTACGATAGCGATTTTATCATTTGTATCCTTTTAATGATTTTGTTAACAATTTACAAATTGATAAAGACTAATTGGCCTTTATTTTTGTTCAGTTGGAAAACCTATTTAATTTTGTTCGTTTATTGTTGAAAATTAATGGATATTATTTTTATTTTAGACTTATTTTTATTTTGTAATGAATGGATATTATTTTAATGTGTGACACCTGCATGTGGCACTAGAGGTGCCACCAGGTTTACTTTTAATTTTTAAAAGAAGATTTTTTGAAATCGTTGAGTATCAACAATAACATTTATAACCAATGAAAAAAAAATTTTTTTTTTAAATTTGTTACTAAAGTATTTAAGAAGCATATTTTAACTAAAAAGTCTTGGTTAGTACCCCCATATAATGAAATATTGGAAAATGAAGATCTATGTATGCCCATGGACATAATATTTTCAAAATTTAAAATTTTTTTATCACTAGGTATCTAAAAACAACTGGTTTCAGCAATTGCACTCCTAATTTAAATTGTGTTTCTTCGCCCTAATCATTATAATTTTACTGAATGAAGAATTATAATTCGATTGCAAGAAGAATTATAATTCCATTATAATTCTACTGGTTCTCAACTGAATGTCCCTTTTCAATAACTGATTGCTCAGGTGTCTGTCCAGGCCAAATTTACTACCGTTTAGCGGTACCTTCACGAATTCAACTTTAGGAAAAACTTCACAAAATACTTTTTCTTAAAATTTTATTTTTGTATCCTGTAAGAAACGATAAATCCATATTTTTGCGTTGATTTTTTAATATAATTTTTAATTTTCTCTAATTATGTCTAAATCATATGTCTCAGAAAAACCTAGACAGACCCATGCTATATTATAGGTTATTTTTTACTTCAATTACGCATAATAAAATAAAATTTGCTTTTAAAATATTGCGTTTTGTATGCGCACCTACCACATAAATCCATTACTTTTCAAAGATAAAATTACTCACTTTTCAGTTTTGATATTTAGACATATGTAATTCAGTTTTGATATATACTTTAACCGTAAAGTGGGCTGGTCATCGGTTCGAAAATTAATTCAGTTAGGAAGCAAACAATTTCCTTTATTTTCCTCTCCCCCTACGCCTTCGCCCTCTTAGTAACGCTTGGCCAGGTTTTATCCGGTTTACTAAAAAACATCTCTTTTTCCCACGGAACTGCACCTTATGATATCAATTCGTGGTATATCTTAATATAACCTTAAAGCCTTTTATAATTCGATTCGGTAGCGATTTGATTATAGCTTGCATGCATTTGATTTCAGTTTTTTCTCATATTTTTATATATACTCGATCTCATCAAAAAATTTTTTTTAGATAAAAATACGATTTCTTTATTTAGTTTTTTCATATAAGAGCGAATAAAATCTTAGAGTTGGAATTTATTTTTATACTTTGAAACCTGAAATTATATACGTTTGTTAATAACTGTTCTCGTGATTTTAAAGATGGTTTTTATTTTTTGTAATTCAATTTTATTCATCGTAATTTTAGAGTTTTTTTTTCTTCTTCTTCTCTTGAAGATGCTTTATAGCAATTTTTCTCATGTAGCCCATTTATATATTTGTCATGTTTAATCAGGGATTTTGTGAAAGGTCCGGTTTTCGTGAAATTATGAAAAAATTACTCACATTCTTTCGACTGGGTTCCGCTTTTATGAATTTGTGCTCATAGTGTCCGGTTATTGCAAAAAAAAAAAAAAAAATTCAAAGATTTTTTAAATTGTAAAGACATACAAGATTATGATAAAAAAAAATAAAATTTTAAAAAATAAACAACAATTGCTGCTTCTAAATTAGAGATGCAACATACAAGTATTTGGTATTTAATTTATACACTGCTGAACGC